GGAAAGTCTACTGTGGGGACTGTTGTGATCCAAGTAGCCAATGCAGTCATTGACGTTCTGTTATCAAGGGTAGTGACTCTGGGCCTTTTTAGATTTTAAGTGCATCATATTCCTGTTCTTTGTCGCTGGTGAAGAAGTCTTGCAGCCATACATTCCAGTCCGGTCGGCGCTGTAACACCCCATAGCACTTCTGTGTTTGACACATGTAACAGCTCCAGGGCTCTTCCTCTTTTGCCTTGGCCGTGGTACCTTGCCCTACCTGGGCCTCCAAGCATTCGTTGCAGAAGCACCTGCAGCAGCTGGCATTGCTACACAGCAGCAGCTCCTTGCTTTCACAGCATACGGTGCAGTAGGACTGCTAACCGTCATCATCCACCCCTTCCGCTGCAACTCTGCTCTCCTGCTCCCCAGCGACGAGCTCGGGGGATCCGTACTAGTCCTCCTGGGTGCTGCTGGCAGCAGACGGTGCAGTAGGACTGGTAACTGTCGTCATCCACCGCTTCCGCTGCACCTCTGCTCTCCAGTGACGAGTTCGGGGGATCCATTCATGAAGCCTGGACAGTAGTAAGGAGCAGTTCAACTATAGGCTGAGCAAGTGCAGAATGGTGGTAGAATGTGCCTTTGGACGTTTAAAAGCTCACTGGCGCTGTTGGTCAGACCTCAGTGCAACCAACATTCCCATTGTTATTGCAGCTTGCTGTGTGCTCCATAATATCTGTGAGATAAGGGGGAGATGTTTATGGCGGAGTGGGAGGTTGAGGGAAATCACCTGGCGTCCGATTTTGAGCAGCCAGACACCAGGGCGATTAGAAGAGCACAGCAAGGCGCGCTGCGCATCAGAGAGGCTTTGAAAACCAGTTTCATGACTGACCAGGCTTTGGTGTGACAGTTGTGTGTGTTTCTCCTTGATGCAAACCCGCCCCCTTTGTTGATTTTAATTCCCTGTAGGCCAACCATCCTTCCCCCTTCGAAATAAAGTAACTATTGTTTTGAGACCATGCATT